CTTTCTGTCTACCTTTGTGTCTGTCTACTTGTGTGTCTTTATGTCTACCTGTGTGTGTCTTTCTGTCTACCTGTGTGTCTGTCTGTCTACCTGTGTGTGTCTGTCTACCTGTGTGTCTGTCTGTCTACCTGTGTGTCTGTCTGTCTACCTGTGTGTCTGTCTGTCTACCTGTGTGTCTTTCTGTCTACCTGAGTGTCTTTCTGTCTACCTGTGTGTCTGTCTGTCTACCTGTGTGTGTCTGTCTACCTGTGTGTCTGTCTGTCTACCTGTGTGTCTGTCTGTCTACCTGTGTGTCTGTCTGTCTACCTGTGTGTGTCTGTCTACCTGTGTGTCTGTCTGTCTACCTGTGTGTGTCTGTCTACCTGTGTGTCTGTCTACCTGTGTGTCTGTCTGTCTACCTGTGTGTCTGTCTGTCTACCTGTGTGTGTCTGTCTACCTGTGTGTGTGTCTGTCTACCTGTGTGTCTGTCTGTCTACCTGTGTGTGTCTGTCTACCTGTGTGTCTGTCTACCTGTGTGTCTGTCTGTCTACCTGTGTGTCTGTCTGTCTACCTGTGTGTGTCTGTCTACCTGTGTGTGTGTCTGTCTACCTGTGTGTGTCTGTCTACCTGTGTGTCTGTCTACCTGTGTGTCTGTCTACCTGTGTGTCTGTCTACCTGTGTGTCTGTCTACCTGTGTGTGTCTGTCTACCTGTGTGTCTGTCTACCTGTGTGTCTGTCTGTCTACCTGTGTGTCTGTCTGTCTACCTGTGTGTGTCTGTCTACCTGTGTGTGTGTCTGTCTACCTGTGTGTCTGTCTGTCTACCTGTGTGTGTCTGTCTACCTGTGTGTCTGTCTACCTGTGTGTCTGTCTGTCTACCTGTGTGTCTTTCTGTCTACCTGAGTGTCTTTCTGTCTACCTGTGTCTGTCTTTCTGTCTGCTTGTCTGTCTCAGAGCCACTCATTAAGAGTAATTGGTCTTGAAGATGCCATATTAATAATGATAATAACATAATAATAATCACTGAGGCGCAGTAAATGTGTATAAAATGTTGATATAGACATTTGGCTTAATCCATCTATGATTTCTTTTTCAAAATTATATAATAAACATGCTACATAACATATAAACATATAAATTAACAAATATAAGATGTTTTTCTGGTCGGCTTAACAGAGTGAACGGGAATCATTCGTGTCCGGGCTGGTAACAACAACAACAACAACAACAACAACGTTTGTTTACATAACTCGCCAACCTTCTACACACTCATTCGTTTATTCATTTAATCTTGTTTACTCACCTCTCACTCTACATTAAGACTACAGATATTTTAAGGTAAGTAATGAGTGGACACGATTATAGTTTAATAATAATAATATTATTAATATTAGTACATATGTATTATTGTAATAATAATAATAATTATTATTAATATTAGTACATATGTATTATTGTAATAATAATAATAATAATTATTAATATTATTATTAATTTAGGGCACTGGAGCACAGATCCACTGTATAGCACTTTGTCTGGATTATTTGGGTTATCCTAGATAATTTATACTATGTATGATAACTTTACTGGCTCCCTTATCTTCATGTGTTAGTGTGACTAGTTAATCATTCAAGTTGGACAGAAACATCTTCGTAAGTTTCTTTCTCCTATGTGCGGGTTATTTGTGTACTGTGTAAAATGTTTGTCTCTAGTCATCAGCTTCAAGAAGATAGATCCAGAACACTTTCTTGATCTGATTTGAACCCTGCTTATATTAATTATATTAAAGTTTGCTTTATTAACATTAACCATGTCGATCCACATCATATTAACATTCATACTTATGTTCTCATTAGCATGTTCTATGTCAATGCCCACCACTACCAGTCTTATAATAAATTATTACAGAAATCCTCAAAATGCAATAAATCATGAAACAAATTATGTACGATGCCAAGGAATATGAACCATGGCACTGTAGTTAACTAATTAAACAACTGTCTAGTTGTTAGTTGTAAGGTAATTAAAGGTTGCCTGAAATGGTCTGAGTAACCAGGAGTTCTCTATTAACTGGTCAGTTAATGCAAGTCAAGTCTTGACTGCATGCAGTTTGTCACTGTAACCAGTCACTACTACTACTATTAGTAGTGCTACTACTACTACTACCACTGGTACTATTGCTACTTGTTATGGTGGTAGGATAGGCTCATTATGAGCCATGTAACAGACAGATCTAGCATATAGGATCTCATGTCTTACCAGTCTTTCATCAGGAGTGTCTGTCATGGGTGCTGTGTCTCTCATGTTGGTGAGTTTGTCTGTTAGTGTTGTCATGGTGTTGTGATTCTGTGAACCTCTGTTCACTCTCTTGCTCATAGTCTGTGTTGTCTCCACCAGGTTGCCTGCTCTCCTGTCATTCTTCTGCTCGCCAACTCCCTCCTGTGCCCTCACTTTTAGCAGCTCTGTGGATTTTGCTTGTGCTACATTCCTGGCATGTATTTTAGCTAGGTACCAGGGTCCTGGTTGTGGCTTCTGCTTCAGGAGGTCAAGCAAGGCTTCCACTTCTGCATCATCCATGCTGCTTGCTATGATGTCACCCTGCTTTTCTGAACACATAGCAACCAGCTGAGCTGTTAAATACAGAATTTCCGTGGGCAAGACTTGAGCCAGGCTCTCAACTAGCTTTCTGTCTCCCTGGCTTGTAATGGCCTCAGCAACTCTGCTGATGTTATACTGCTCAAAAGTCTTCTTTTCTTTTTCTGTCTCAAGGTTCTTCATGAAATACAGTAAACCTAAATAACAGATTCGAGGGAATGTGGATATTCTGTATTGTGTGGGAATGGTATACCTGCAGCTGAGATATGGGTATCTGCTGACATCATCTGCTATCTGGTCAATAGAACTGAGCTCTCTGGTGAAAGCTTCATGTAAACCTTCCAAGTGGGTCCTGGCTGCTTCCCTGACAGCAACACCAAACCTGACAGTTTTTCCCCTGAAATTTATGTACACCATTCTCATTTGTTCCAAGAGGCTTGCAGACCAGCGGCTAAGGTGAAACTCTACTTCCAGCTCATCTATTGGTATTAAGTCTACCCTTTCAGTCTTTAGATCAAAATGACCTTGTTTATTGATGGCTAACACCTGTCCGATCACTTCATCCACTCTGCTATTTGTAGCTTCTCTTGGCCAGTTGATAGCTGCTAGTATTCTCTTAACCTCATCTAGTTTGATGACAGTCCCGGACTGGGACAAGGCTGCACAGATCCTTTTGTAAATGTGCTCAGCTAACAACTCAGTTCTACTCCATGAGGGAGCTAAGGCATACACAGCTGTACTGATAATGAAGTCATTGGATCCTTTCATTTCAGAAACAGGTGGTAATGTCAGCCTGGTGAACCCCATAACAGCACTGTAAACTGACAGTCTAATCAATATTACCTCCTTATTCAGCATTTTATGGATCCATGGGAATAATAAATACAAGACACTAAGTGTCTTGACATACCAAGGGACAGACTCAATAGTTAGAAGTTCATTAATGTCTGCGCTAGGGCCCACCACACACACGTCAGCTTGTATAGATGCTAGAGTCACTGAATATTCCTGTCGGAGGTGCCACTCTGAAAACTGCCAGAGATCTGGAGGGTAGAAACATTTTGTCCCTACTATGCGTTCGACAGCCTGTGCTACAGCAGTCAAGCAGGCACTACTGCCCTTTACAAACACTAGACAATCAAATTGTTCATCTCCCAGAAAGATGTCTCCCAGCCCTGCAAACACTACTACCCTTGAAGAGGCAGTTCCACCACCAACACTGCAATGAGGCATCTTGTAACGGTCGTCAGGAAGGTCACTGTTATAGAGGCTCAGAACATCCCAGTGCCGCCCCTGTAACCATGTCTTGAGGCTCTCCACAAGAGTGTAACAATAACCTATAACATCCCCACTAACTGTTGGACTTCCTCCTGAGTCCACAAGTTCAGAAAATAGTTCAGCCAGATCAGAATCCTGAAGATGAAAGAGCATTCTTCCCTGAGAAGAACACAGATGATTATATTAATTATCTTTCCTTCTACTACCACCACTACCAATATTACTACTATTACTAATAGTGATGAAAATAGTAATAAAATTAATCAAATCAAATATATAATTTTCCCTAAAAATCAGAATATAATTATCAAGCAATTAAAAATTTTTAGAATCAACGATATAAAAAGCCCACTTCTGGTTAGTATGACTTTGTAAATGGTCCAAGTCGGACCGAAACGTCATCGTAAGCTCTTCTCTTCTATGTGGGGGTTATTTGTGTATTGTTATTTATAAAAAGCCCAAATTTTTCTCCAAAAGTGGCCTACCTCGTTTTGAGTTTTGAGATGTGCCTCCTGCGGCAAGAACACTGTCGGCGCCGACACTCTCACCACAGACTGAAAACCGTGTAATGGTAATATGTCAGAATACATCAGGATACATAATGATACAAACAATACATAAGTGATTAATGAACCTATCATGTCTTCTGTATGCTTTCCTAAGATAACTTAGTCATTGTTGTTGCTTCTGTCCATGGTGCTGCAACACTGTGTCCCATAATTTTTAAAGGGGTGGACCAGTAAGCCAGTAGAAGGACTCAGTCAGATGACCAAAAGCTCCAGCTGTGGGTCACTATATGACTAAGACCCAAGTCAGGAAACACTGGTCCTGTTTCCTGACAAACCTTACCTAATCTCACCTAACTGTGCCCCCAAACACACCCATACTTCTATTTTCTATCAGCTTAAAGTTGGATACAACTCAGCAAGGGAACTCTCTACTGAACTAAGCAAGGTTGTCACTGCTGCAACAGAGACTTACACATCCTCCTTATCTCACAATTTATGCCAGTTGTCAGTGAATGGGATTGCCTAGACAGCAACACCTGTCTAGGCAATAATTTACACCAGTTGTCCTAGTTATACATTCACTGCTCACTCCTCTCTTAAGAAAAATGCAACATAAAACTGGGACCTTCTCTGTGGGGACTTAAACGAAAACCACCTGCTCCCTGCCCTTCAGGTGGGCACTATAATAACAGTCTACCTGGTACAATAATTACAGTCTACCTGGTATAATAATTACAGTTGACCTAATACAATAATCACAGTCTACCTGGTATAATAATCACAGTCTACCTAGCACAATAATCAGTCTACCTTATACAATAATCACAGTCTACCTGGTACAAAAATCACAGTTTAACTAGCAAAATAATAACAGTCTACCTAGCACAACAATCTAACTTAACACTAACTGGAGTGATGCTAGATCTAGTGTACAACAGAGTTGCCTGGCAGAGCTAAAACATTGCTGACAGCTCCCTGCTGATGGGGTCCCCACTGATGGGGTCACTGCTGACAGGGTCCCCACCACCATCACTGTGACAGCCAATCACAGCAAAACACAGAAATGATTCACAAAAGAATGACTCACATACTGATGGAAATGAAACAGATGAAGGAATAATGGAGAGTACCCTGATAATAATAATAATTAATAATAATGATTTAAATCTGTAGGGGAAGGAAAGCGGGGTAGGGGTCGTCCTCGAAAAGGTCAGAAGGAAGGGGTAAAGGAGGTTTTGTGGGCGAGGGGCTTGGACTTCCAGCAGGTGTGCATGAACGTGTTCGATTGTAATGAATGGAGACGAATGATATTCGGGACCTGACGATCTGTTGGAGTGTGAGCAGGGTAATATTTAGTGAAGGGATTCAGGGAAACCGGTTATTTTTATATAACTAGACTTGAGTCCTGGAAATGGGAAGTACAATGCCTGCTTCTAAACTGTTGTGTTCTGAGCACCTCTGCAAAAACAGTGATTATGTGTGAGTGAGGTGAAAGTGTTGAATGATGACGAAAGTATTTTCTTTTTGGGGATTTTCTTTCTTTTTGGGTCACCCTGCCTCGGTGGGAGACGGCTGACTTATTAAAAAAAAAAATAATGATTAGACAAAGATAATGAAAAATAAAATTTATATATTTTCACTAAAATTCCATTACATTTTTGAGACAAAATCCTTAAACAGTAGGGCCACACTTATATGGCAGGTTAGGTTCCAGGCTATTGCCGGAAAGCAGACATCGCCAGAAAGCAGACATCGCCGGAAAGCAGACATCGCCAGAAAGCAGACATCGCCGGAAAGCAGACATCGCCAGAAAGCAGACATTGCCGGAAAGCAGATATCGCCGGAAAGAAGAACACCATTTTTTTCCATTTATAAATGCACATAAATGCCAGACAACAAGTTTACACTAAATTATATTAAGTTAGTAATAGAACTAGGCATTAAAAAACACAAAAAGTAAAATACATACACAGTACACTCACTACTTATCTTAAAGTATTGTAATCTTAATGTATGGCGAGAGGTGAGTAGTACTTATTTATAGGAAGTCAGGTGTAGGTAGCCCTGGCTCCCCATCTCATACTTAATATGCAATATTTAAAACAGCCCAGAGTTAAAATACATATACAGTACACTCATCATTTACCTTAAAATATGTGTAGTCTTAATGTAGGAAGAGAGGTGAGTAGTGATTATCAAATGGTATACAATACTGACAGGTTGGTAGATAAGACACATAGGCAACATTTAGGCAACTTTATTCCGAAACGTTTTGCCTACACAGTAGGCTTCTTCAGTCGAGTACAGAAAGTAGGCAGGAGCAGTAGAGATGTGAAGACGATGTAATCAGTCCATCACCCTTGAAGTTGCAACATAATGGCATCTTGGTACAGAAGAGAAAACACCTTGGACAACTTTTTCAAGTGAGAATTGTTTGATCTGAGAGGGACATGACCTCTCAGTGGCTACTTTCTCACTACTACTACTCTGCACCTCTCCTTCCGACAGTATTTAAGTCTCAACACTGTCTCTTGATCTTCAGTTAGTTCCAGACTTTAGAACAGAACTTCTCCAGGCTGAGGGACTGACAACCTCAAATCTACAACTTCAAGGGTGATGGACTGATTACATCGTCTTCACATCTCTACTGACTGGCTTGTAAACACTGGCACCCACGGGGCAGCTGAGGCCACACATGGGACGCGTCCCGGACGAATCATGTAAGGCGAGTTTTTTATTGTGAGGCAAGGCAAAATTTTTGTGTTAAATGCTTCGTATGACAGATTTAATGTAACGTGATGCGCTCGTAAGGCGGGGGTCCACTGTACATATAAAATCCGCAGTAACTTTAACACACTTGAAATTTTGGAAAGTTTCCTGACATAATAGATGTGGTCACCGAGAATGTAAACAAACTGGGTGGGGCACACCGTATTTGAAAGACCGCTTACCATATAGCAAATTTTGGTCATAATTTGACATCGCCATATTAGCAGAATGCCGTAAAGCGAAATGCCGTAAAGTGGGACCCTACTGTATATTAGATTTTATTGCACTTTCCATTTGATTTTTTAAAAATATATGAAATATTAAAAAATTAAAAAATATTAAGATAATAATAATTAAGAAATATTAAAATAATAATTAAGAAATATTAAAAAAATAATAATTAAGAAATATTAAAAAAATAATAATTAAGAAATATTAAAATAATAATAATTAAGAAATATTAAAATAATAATACATGTAATTAAGAAATAATAATCCAGCACTCACAACTGTGTGTTATACAGCAGAGTACCTGTATCCGTGGGTCTTGTTTCCACGATTTCAGTTTTCCATAGTTTACCATGGCCTGAAAAAAACCTTAATTTTGCTTAATAATGACACAAAAGCACAAAAGCAGTGATGGTGACAGTTCTTCAAAGTCTAAGAGAAGCAGTGAAGTGCTTCCCATCAGTGAAAAAGTGATAATTCTCGACTTATTGTGCAGACAGTAGTGAACCCATAGGGTTCACTACTATCCGCATTTTCGGGTATCCGCGGTAGGTCTTGGAACGTGTCTCCCACGGATATAGGGGTACTACTGTATATGAGAATTTAATGATTGGTTACATCAGTAGGTCTGGTCCTGGTGGTGATGCAGCGAGGTGAGTGGTGCTGTAGTCCCTGTGTGCCAGCAGCGCGCCGTACCTGCGGCACTACCAACATTGGCTCCCTGGAATAAGAATCAGAATTTTTTCTAATAATAATGTAGATAAAACTAAAAAAAATGGTGGCCCATCGCCTGGTAGGCAATACTCTCACCTCACACACTGAGAGTCTGTGGTTCAATCCCCGGCAAGGGTGGAAACATTGGGTGCATTTCTTTATACCTGTTGTCTCATTCACCTAGCAGTAAGTAGGTACCTGGGTGTTAGTTGACCAGTGTGGGTAGCTAACACACGCACTCTGAACGTGTTTGCTTGGATTTCATCCTCTTTTCTGCAACATTGCAAGCTCCTGATGATGTGTTGATTGCAACACAAAAGGCCCAGAGCTATCTTTCAACTCCCCCCATGGTTGTTTTGCACTCCCACTTAAGTACAGTAACCGACTTGCCACCATTAAGGAATTGTCCTCAGAGTGAAAAAATGGAGCTGGTTAAAGTAAGCTGATGACCAGGTGCCCCTCCGGTAATGTACCCGGTGGGCTACTTAGATGAGGACAAGCGTCCCAGAGAAAGTGGGTAAAACTTATCACGGATACTCAGGCGAGAGTGAGACAACCACATCCGACGAAGGCTGGTGCAGAAGTCTGTTGTTGTTGTTTATACTGCCACTGACTGCTGATGCAGTATTGAGTTCTGCCTTCCAGTGTCCATAAAAGAGACCTTGACCAAAGTGAAAGGAAGTTAAGACAAGATAAAATTTTGTTCGAATTTTTAACCTCAGAGGTTTAGCCACTCAGGATAACCCAAGAAAGCTGGTGCATCATCAAGGACTGTCTGTCTTATTTTTATTGTGGTCCTCAATCTTGTCCCCCAGGATGCGACCAACACCAGTCCACTAACACCCAGGTACCTACGTGCTTGCTACGTGAACAGGACAACAGGTGTAAGGAAACACATCCAATATTTCTACCAATGCCAGGAATGAACCACAGACACTCAGTGTATGAAGTGAGAGTGTTGCCTACTAGGCCATGGGCAGTGCATATTATATGTCCCTAATGTACTCTGAGGCCAGCATGAAGGTGAAGGTACACACCAGGATCTCCTGATGGTCTGGAGGGTCAAACTTCTCTCCATAGTTGTTATTGCTGTTGACTGCCATAAGTGTTGTTATTGTAGCTGTTAGTAAGAAAATAAGTTTATTCAGGTACTGGTGCACATTAATACAGTTACATAAATTATCATACATCGCAGCATATGTGTAGATGACCCACCAGGATAACAAAAAAAAAAAGTCAAAGTGACTTATTTCCATTGGGGTTCTTGTAATATCTTATTATTAAAACAATAAAAGAAGATATACTCGGTTGTTGAGGTGGTTCGGACATGTAGAGAGAATGGAGCGAGACAGAATGACTTCAAGAGTGTATCAGTCTGTAGTGGAAGGAAGGCGGGGTAGGGGTCGGTCTAGGAAAGGTTGGAGGGAGGGGGTAAAGGAGGTTTTGTGTGCGAGGGGCTTGGACTTCCAGCAGGCGTGCGTGAGCGTGTTTGATAGGAGTGAATGGAGACGAATGGTTTTTAATACTTGACGTGCTGTTGGAGTGTGAGCAAAGTAACATTTATGAAGGGGTTCAGGGAAACCGGCAGGCCGGACTTGAGTCCTGGAGATGGGAAGTACAGTGCCTGCACTCTGAAGGAGGGGTGTTAATGTTGCAGTTTAAAAACTGTAGTGTAAAGCACCCTTCTGGCAAGACAGTGATGGAGTGAATGATGGTGAAAGTTTTTCTTTTTCGGGCCACCCTGCCTTGGTGGGAATCGGCCAGTGTGATAAAAAATAAATAATACTCGGAATAAGATAAACTGAGTTATTTACATTAACATTAGAGAGGATCAGATCACAATGATAGGTCCATGTATGTTAGCTATACAAGAAATCACTCTCCTCCCTTTCTTTAGCTATACAGTGGTCTTTCATTTTTTGTCAGTAATCCGTTCCTAGAAGTGTGACGATTATTGAAATTGACGAATTTCGAATAAATTTTCCCTATAAGAAATAATGTAAATACAATTAATCCGTTCCTGACACCCAGAAGTATTAAAACAAAATTTTTTTCTAAATGAAATATAGATGTAGTACATAAACAATACAATGGGACATGATGAATGAAACATTAACAGCATAACACTTACCTTTATTGGTGATTCTTCTTATTGTATGGAAGACTGGAGGAGGAGAGAGATTGCATTAGTTACTGTTTGGAAAGGGAATCCCCCTTATATCAACACCTCAGGTACCAAGTCCTTTTCTGGGGTTACTTCTCTTCTATGTTTCATAATGCCACTACGACCAGCTTGAGAGTCACTGGAGTCCTGTCTCGCAAAAAAAGTGTCCAGAGAGCTTTGTTTCTGGCGTCTCTTTAAAACTTCCCTAAAATGGACCAAGACTTTGTCACTGTACAAGTTGCCAATATGGCTTGCAACATCCTTCTCAGGGTGATGTTTCTCCATAAATCTTTCCACCCTACCCCACATTTCAAAAATCTTATAAATTTCTGAAGAAGGGAACTTCTTCCATCTCTCTTCCTCCTCCTCTGCAGCAAGATTCTGAGCTGCAATCTGTTGCTGTTCCTGCTGAAGCTCTTGCAGCTGCTCAGTGGTTACCTCCTTGTTGTGGTCCTCCACCAACTCTTCCACATCCTCCAAACTCACATCCAACCCCATGGAACTCCCCAATGCCACAATAGAGTTCACAACTGACATAGGCTCATCAGGGTCAGCCACAAACCCTTAAAAATCTCTCTTGTGGACACAATCTGGCCACAATTTTCCCCAAGCAGAGTTCAAAGTCCTGGTAGTCACTCCCTCCCAAGCCTTACCTATAAGGCTTATGCAGTGGAGGATACTGAAGTGTTCTTTCCAAAATCTCTTAGATCAAGCGAGTGTCTGAGGTCACATTAAAGCACCTTTGAAACATTGCTTTGGTGAGAGTTTTTTAAAGTTTGAAATGACCTGCTGGTCCATGGGCTGGAGGAGAAGTTGTGGTATTCGGGGGCAAGAACTTTACTGTGATGAAACCAAAACTCCTGCAGAATTAGGTCATCCAAGTTTGGAGGATGAGCAGGTGCATTGTCCATTACTAGGAGGCACTTGAGATCCAATTTCTTTTCCAGGAGGTAATTCTTCACACTAGGCCTAGGGCCAAACACTTCATTGAACCACTCGACGAAAATTCCCTCATGCCCCATGCCTTATTATTAGATCTCCAAACACACACAATTTACTCTTCATAACATTGTTTTTCCTGAACACTCTGGGATTTTCAGAATGGTACACTAGTAACAGCTTCACTTTGAAATCATCACTGGCATTAGCACAGAACATGAGTGTCAGCCTGTCTTTCATAGGCTTGTGTCCTGGCAGTCCATTTTCCTCCTGAGTAATGTAGGTCCCTCTTTGGCATTTTCTTCCAAAAGAGGCCTGTTTCATCACAAATGAACTCTTGTTCAGGTTTCAGTCCTTCAGCCCTAATGTACTCCTTGAATTCACTTAAGAATTTTGTAGCTGCAATTTTGTCCGAACTGGCAGCCTCACCATGCCTTATCACGCTGTGTATGCCACTACGCTTCTTAAATCTCTCAAACCAACCTTTGCTAGCCTTAAATTCACAATTATCAGTACTCGTTGCAGGCAATTTCTTTACCAGATCGTCATGCAACTACCTAGCCTTTTCACAAAAAATCGACGTCATAAGACTATCCCCTGCTAATTGTTTCTCGTTTATCCACACCATTAATAACTTCTCAACATCTTCGAGTACTGGTGATCTCATTTCTGTCAGCATATTTACCCCCTTTGCAACAACAGCTTCCTTGATTTCCTTTTTCTTTGCCACGATGGAAGATATGGTTGTATGGGGTTTGTTATACATCCTGGCCAATTTGGCCACATGTACGGCACTTTCATATTGTTCAATGATGTTTTTCTTAAATTCAATCATATTTCTCACCTTCTTTACCAAAGGCTTGGCACTAGGAGCTTTCTTTGGAGCCATGGTAGCTTATTTAGCAGTTGCAAGCACTAAAATGAATGGAATATTATGAAATACATATTTCGTATGAACAAGTGAGGGGACTGTTGCTCAATGGTAAACAATGGCACACTGGCTGGGAAGGGAGGGCGAGGCAGCTCAGAGCCATGAGTACGCGTCCCGGATGACCGACGATTAGCAAGTCAAACGACGATTCGCGAGCCAATGTTTTGACGAAAATAACGTCACGATTTCCGAAATTGACGACTATCGAGCCTAACGATTATCGAATGACCACTGTATTCATTAGGTACCTTTTGGCTCTCTTCTTGAACTGGTTCATGCTATGACAGGCTTTGACATGTGCAGGTATCTGTTCCATTCCTTTATTGCTGTATAATAAACTATGTTTGGAGCCTGACCACTGACTGTGGGTACTACAAAGTTGTGCTCCATGGAAAATTTTTATAATTGTCCTACATTTAGTGTAAAAAAAATTATGTAATGTAATATTTAAAATGTATTATTGGTGTGACTGAAAATAAAAACAGGAACTGCAAAATGAACCGTCACACTGGGGGGGGGGGAGATGCAGACAGTATGGTAATGTATCACTAGCAGTACAACTGAGTATGATTAATCTGGTGTCATTAAGGCTAAAAATGGGTTTATCAGCAGGAATCAAGGATTAGAAGTTTAGTATCCTCTGAAGCAGTAAATGGATTTATAACTTGTGAAACAGCTCCAATATGGTTGTATGATGAAAAATGGGAGGACACCAAACCTTATGTGTAGCCCACATATGTAATGTATGCTTACCCTTAATTAGCAGTACATACATATTGCCTTGGCCAATGCATATATTCTGACAGGGATGCATTAGGATGTGGCCACAATAACTGTGGTAAGTTAATGTCTATGATTTGGTATTTGTAATTATTGTGATAATATTATTCAAGTAATGGGAAATCTTACCCAGACTCTATGTTTACTAGTACAGCCTCTCCTCACTTAGCAATATATTGTTTACTGATGACTTGGACTTGTGGCGGGCTCTCTGACCAGTATGCATACCTAAATAATGTATATTACAGCTGATTTCCTCTATTCTGTTTATTACAATATACAATACGCTACTGTATAAACATTTAAAAATATACTAACAATGTTATAAGTGGTGCAAAAGTGACATTAAAACAATATCAAAGATGGGTGACACAAACCCACCACCACTCTAGTATGCACCTTGCTTAGCAACAAATCTGTTTACCGACATGGTCTTAGGAATGGAACTCCAGCATTAACCCTTTGACTGTTTTGGTCATATATATACGTCTTATGAGCCA